TGATGACTAACCGCCTTCCCTCTAGTCTTACACTGCTAAATTAGGGACGGCTAGCGCAGATAGCCCTCGTGTTGTTTTCCGCGAAATTCAACACAAACAAACAAAACCAATATAATCAAGAATATTTTATAAAAAGAGACTTCATCACCAGTTTTAAACTGCAATGTTTTTCGTAAAGCAAGAGGATGTAGTGTTGCTTTAAAACTTTTGGTAGTTATAGATATATAAATGAAATATCCAAAATGCACTAAATTGTTCAGAAAGCTGAAGAAATCACGTTTTAATACATAATGCTAACGGGGTAAAAGTTATAATTCTTATTTGTAAATATCCTCTGCGCATGTCTTAAAACGAATGTGAACATTTGCTTTTGTATAAGAATTAAAATTTTACCTTTATGACACACCAGTCTCTCTCAAAAATACCTTGAATCGACTTCTCTTAATAGGGCAGCGGATATAAGCTAATTGATATGTAATAATTATTCACTATTAAACTTGGATATTCGTATACGCTAATAATCATGACAACAATTAACATCCGATCACAAAAAACCTTACCGTAAGTAACTACATGGACACTTAATCACAAAAAATATCAATTATATTAGAATTATTCACTTATTATGTTGGTTTTTAAAATATGTTTAAAATATATGAAATAATTTGCTTCTAACATATCTATATATTCCTTACATAGGATATTTTTACATACGACAGAGAAATTATATGTTGCATATCTAAAATAAATAAGCGAAGCCACGTTACACAAGTAAAGAATATTTGTAGCATGAAAAGTATAAATTTGTCTACAAATAATTCATACAACATATACAAATTAATATTCTAGACTTAAACAGAAAGTAGAAAGCCTCAAGGAAAAAGACAAATCTTTTAAAAATGACCAGAAATTGAAACTCCAAGCATTTCGTCAGCAAGCCGAAAAAGATTTCATTTACCTTCGCCAGTCTACAGTTGACTTCATCCAAAGTGTCAGGTATATATATATATATATTCTGAGTACCTTAGACCTGATTTGTTCAGATTGTCGCTAGTTTGATTTTTTATGACTAAACCTTCTATGAATTATGTATAGAAGGTTTACCAATAAATGTAACTCTTATTTATAAGATCAATTTTTTTATATCTCATACAATTTACCAACTTTAGATAATGATTGTTAATTGACTAAGTTTTTTTAATTTTCTTCTTTATAATTTATTTAATAATTAGGTGTAAAACGCTTTAACTGAAGAAATATCACATTTAATATTGATATGTGTTTGATCTTGTACCACAATAAGACTGATATTAATTGAAATCACATCGTTCTTTACTGTCCCACTATGGGTTTCCAATCATGCAGAATAATGCATACGAGGTCTTTAAATCCCTTCTTGTCGCTGCACACCTTTATGAAGAGGCTTTTCACTCAATACCGAAATTCATTCTGCCTCCTGGATTACAATATTATTTGCAAAGCTACTTATATCAGTCGTTTATTAAACAATTCGTAAGATGTAGAATGCTTTAGCTATAATCCAAACTCAGGTAAGTAAAGCTTAACTGAAGTCAGAACAGAGTGGATAAACAAGGAAGACAGGTGAAATGATAATATTGGAGATTTTCGTGGTAAAAAAAGAAGATAAATTTTATAAGAAAAATTATGTTGTGACAAACTGTTCCATCCCCCCTTCCCCTCTCAGTGGCTCAGCGGTAAGCCTGAAGGCTTATAACACTACAAACATTAAACATTGGGACGCATAAGGACTGACACGGTACTAGCTGCTAAAAGGAACATAGTGTACAAATATGAATAGGGGCCAGAATTCTTTTATAGTAAATGTCTGTGACTTACTTGTTGGGGATAGATTCGAACACTGAACGGACAGCACACAGTCTGTTTACTGTATGCTATCGAGCCATTTCAGTATGTCTGCCTATTGTTAGTTTTTCATTCAAACCGTCTGTAAAGTATTTTTCATTACCAAAATTGTTTAGACGTCTTTGTTCATATTTTTCTTAAATATACCTTAACTTTAGTGTGTTACTTTGAAGTGTCTTTCAATAAATTATTTTTCCATTTTCTGTCTTATTTCTCTGTTCTCTTGAACATTTATTTTCCAGTCGGTACGGTTTCTTTAATTTGATTTTAATTTTTTAGTCGGAGTAGTATTAGAAATTAAATGAGAATAACAATACACACAGCACAATGTTCAACATTATATTTAGTAACTCAGCTCAGAGCATGAGATGGCTGTACTTCATTCATAGTAAATTTCCCTACATGCAACCTTAATGTAGAAGAAATATAACTCAGCGACTGACATATATATAAGCGTCTTCACTTTTGGAAGAAAAATCATCAGTTAAACATTGGGAGGCATAAGGACTGACACGGTACTAACTGTTAAATGGAACATAGTGTACAAATATTCCTTCCAATATCTGATCTGATATAAGGGCCCCCCAGTGGCACAACGGAATGTCTGTGGACTTATTCCGTTAGAAACCGGGTTTCGATACCCTTAGTGGGCAGAGCACAGATAGCCCCTTGTATAGCTTTGTGCTTAATAACAAACAACAATCGATATAAGGACTGACACGGTGCTAACTGTTAAAAGGAACATAGTGTACAAATATTCCTTCCAATATCTCATCCGATATAAGGGCCCCCCAGTGGCACAACGGAATGTCTGTGGACTTATTCCGTTAGAAACCGGGTTTCAATACCCTTAGTGGGCAGAGCACAGATAGCCCCTTGTATAGCTTTGTGCTTAATAACAAACAACAATCGATATAAGGATTGACACGGTGCTAACTGTTGAAAGGGACATAGTGTACAAATAAGGGATAGGATAAATATTCCTTCCAATATCTGATCCGATATTGCACCATTCGGCGAAATTCAACCAGACTGGATATTAATTTTGCGATAAATCGATAAACAGAAAGCATTTCCGTCAACATATTATTTCACAATATTACCCAAGTATGATACCACTTGCGGGTGCGCCACACCTAATACCAAGCACAGATGTTACATCATCTAGCCCACTGGTTCATTCCATTAGCTTCTAAACATAACAGTACTCACCTCCTGGTTCTCGTATTACAGATAGTCGTTATGTAATTCATATAAACATCACGGTTGTGTTGCACAGGTGGTAACGGCAGAGACAGCGATAACAACGGTAAGCATAATCCAAACAACAGTATCACACCTCTTCGTGTTTAAGTCTTTTAAAGGACCTGCGATGAACGTGCAGAACTGTACATCACTCTGAACATACATCGTTATTAATTACTTTTTAGGGGAAGGGGGAATATTATAACACTCCTACGAGTTATAGTTGAGTATGTTCAGCGCCGAGTTTTGATCTAACGACCCACCGATTGTGAGTCCAGCGTTTTAACCACTGGGCTGTACCAGGCCTATACAATACAAGTTTAAGAGTATTTTAAAGTCAAGTTGGGGCAGCAAGATATACACAAGATTATCGAGAATGTAAGTGTAGAATTTTTAAACAACAACAAAAAAGGTAACCTTCTTGGGAATAGACATTTGAAGATATGTTGTATCGTTTGTTTGTTTGTAATGAAGCACGAAGCTACACAATGGACTATCTGTGCTCTGCCCACCACGGGTATCGAAATATTTTGTATCGCGAAAATATTTTAGTGAAAGAGCAAAAATATTAGATTTATGCTAATAGCAAAATAAAATAAAATTGCCGATCTTGCGTGGAAAGATCACGAAAAGTCTGTTGTTGTTTTTTTCCGTAAAGGACAGAAAACCAGTGAAGGCATGGCCTAAAATGTAAGGGCATGGTTGACATTGGATTCACAACTAAAACTGATGCAAGTATGTTGTTAGTTAAAGAAGGGAGAGGAATGTTTTTGGACACAGGGGAATACAAAAGTATCGTGTTACATAGGTAAAGTCAAGCTTTGTGTGTTCATATGATCACAGTATAAAGAAGAAATACGACAGATAACACAGGTCTTAGAGGGAATACCACTGCAATCCACCTATTTATTAATAAAAAGAGCTGTTGAAAAAAAAAATAGGAAAATCATTTTTAAAAATCTTGAAATACAAATATCAAATTTATCTGCAGAATTATTAGCGAGTAAATTGGCTTTGATGTAATTACGAAAGCGAGGTAACTGTAAGTATTTTATATATACTGTGTATAATGTAGTATATTTTTTATTTACTGCCATGATACGGATGATGAACTCTAAGTGATCCTGAGAAGTTTAACAAAGTGTTTAAATAAACTGTCTTTACCTGTTGTATATGGTTTATTGTTCTTTTCCTAAGCTTTGAGTCTATTTTATTGGTATTAATCCATATTCACACAAAGTCAAATGTTAACCATTAAACAAATAAAGCACACGGGAATACCCAAGCAAAATAATTGTTTTTTTTAATGAATACTCTAACATTTACAAACCTATTAAGAGCATGTTTTGCTACTGCTATAGGACATTTACAGATTCAGGAACCTACAGTGTTCAAGAACTAGAAGGCATACCAAAAAACCTGGAATATCTGAGCAAGAACATCAATAGTTCTGAAAAGAAGGTTTTGTTTTCACTTCAGGAGGTTGAGAAGAGTGTTAAATACGACGATATTTTATGGGAAAAGTAAGTGAAAATACTTAATTAAGAATTAATAATTCATACTTTAAATATAGATGATAATGATATTCTCAAAGCTAAATAATAACTTACCGCAACTTGATGATTATACAAACATAAAAGTTATGAATATATTTTTATCTGTTACATGGGAGTTGAGTAACAAATAACTTGATCGACACTAAGAATAAGAACGTTATTGTCAGCCGACACAGATTGGGGGATATTGTAAAAAAAAATGTATAAAATCCTTGTTCTGTCGAGCTAGATTAATTTTAATAGTTTTTTACTGTATTATCTACGTCTGTCTATCTTTATTGTAAGTTTTGGATGGAGAAGCTGCTTGGGCATGATTAGCTTTGGTAGTTTTGACTGTATTATTTACGTCTGTCTATCTTTATTGTATGTTTTGGATGGAGAAGCTGCTTGGGCATGATTAGCTTTGATAGTTTTGACTGTATTATCTACGTCTGTCTATCTTTATTGTATGTTTTGGATGGAGAAGCTGCTTGGGCATGATTAGCTTTGGTAGTTTTGACTGTATTATCTACGTCTGTCTATCTTTATTGTATGTTTTGGATGGAGAAGCTGCTTGGGAATGATTAGCTTGGGATTAACGTTTGGGTTCACTTTTAATTGTCTTCTCCATTTGTGCTAGCATGAACAATCGGATGCCTTAATAAATCTTCTGTAGACAGTTTAATTTGTTTTAATTATAAATAGAACGAATTTTATTGGCAGACTACTGAAGCCTATGACCTAATGTTTACTAAAACTTTTCGTTGAAGTATCTTATTTAACCAATTGTGTAAATAACAATGAACAACTCTTACTCTTAAAAGACAAGGTAACACAACCATTGATTACCATAACATTTCAATGTCAACCGGAAACAGACACTTTATATATCTCTAAGAGCCTGTAAGATTTGAATTTGTTTTCTGTAGAAAACTAAGTTTCCATCTCCAAGTGATCAATAATTTTTTTCTAACACTTAGCTTTTATTGACCATTATAATCACTAATGAACAACTTTTATGTATTGTCAGCCTGTTGTTGAAAAGGATAAATGGGGACATCATTTTACTAATGTGAATCTGTATCACATCCTGTGACTGTTTCAGTACGTTATGAATACAACAGGGCAACTGCGACTGAGATAGAGGGCTACGTAGTGTATACGTATTCATAATTGGATCTTGGATCCTGAAGTGTGAATGGTTCAGAGGTTCCGGAATGCTAAAATCTGATTGGCTGGTGTTTGATTAGTTGCTACTTTCCAAACCAGGGCCTCTGATGAGAGCTGTTTATATATTTTCAATGTATAAAGCTTCCTTAATTTTTTCCACTTTTGTAGTTGTTGTGATTCTATGATTTTACAATTTGGTATCCAGTATATATATCAACCTCAACAGTAGTTGAAGGTGTTTGTGTTCGTAAGGAGTTCTTCTAAATGTCTCCAAGTTTCTCCAATATATGAACTTCCACAGCTCCATGGTGTTGTCAGGGGATACGGATTGTTTTGTATGGGAAAGAACGTTATGAACGGTTTATCCACGTATAAATCAAACTTGTACCTTTTGACGTTTTACAGATACTTGTATATTATAAGTGAGCTTTTGAGATGAAGGCATTAGGTATTCTTGTACGAATTTATGGTAGGTTTTTGCACGGAGGTCTGCAGGCGTGTTTAATGAAGCTGTTTGGGTATTCATTGGACCTGAAGACTGTCTTGATGTGTTTCAGTTTAGTTTGTAAATGGTCCTTGTTGTATATTTTAATAGCTCAAATAAATAGACAAGATACTACACCTATTTTAATGCTTTGGGGATAATTATGTTGGAAGTTAAGGTACTTGTTTGTGTGTGTGTGTTGGTTTCATCTAAATACAAGCAGTAAGGTGGCAATCTTCTCTGTGAAGAAGGACAGTTAAAAATTTCTGTTCTCTTCGAATTGAACTGTGAATTTAATGTTGCTGTGTATGAAATTGAGATGAAATAGAAAGTCTGTAACAGTTCTTTCTCCATGTTGTCCGATTACGAAGGTACTGTAGACCTAAAGTTTATGTGGTTCTGGCATAAGAGAAGATGACGTCAGGGCTGTAAGTTTGAACTTCTACATGTTTCACTGAGAAGCTGTGAAAGAAGAAATCTTAAAATCGGGAATATTAGTTTTTGATGCAGATGTTATTAATTCCATAATCGTGTCTGGTGAGAGAATACAACGGTTAGATAATGTTTTGTCAGGTTATAATTTATGTATAGTAACGATAAGTGCTTCCGAATCTGGAAAACGTCATTTAGATCAAAACTGACAAGCAGATCACTCAAGAATTAATGACACGGTTGTTGGACTTTGCTAGTAGGTGTGATAAGACGGGTACAAGAAACTTGACGATGTGGTGTTAGGGAGATTGCATCGAGCTGAACACACTGGTCTGAGAGGAGCTTATGTTTTCATGAATTTCAGAAAGGCCTTATATCGGAAACCTGTCGTTTTGAGTGTATGGTGATCTTCTTGGGAAGTCTTATTTCTTAAAAATCAATTAAGAACTTTGGTGCTTTTTCTTTATCTGTGGTAGAATCAGATTATTTGTACATTCTGTATTAGGTTTTGCAAACTTATGTTGTAGTCTACTAAGTCTAGATTGACTATGGAATGACTTTTGTCTGCGTGAATAATAATGATAAAACTGTCGTTTTTTTAGAAGTGAAAGGGCTTTCCTTTTTTTGTTTATTTTTGAAGTGAGGTTATTTTTAGATTTCTTCTGCAGAATAGAGGTCGAAAAAACTTCTCACTAATTCACAATGTTCTTTAGGAAGTTGTTTGGCGGCGGTAAACTCCGAGATTGGCACTGAGTTAGGGATAACAGTAAAGTTGAAGTCTAAGGATGCTTTTATCATAACAAAAAGTGCTAAGATCTAACAAATATCACTATATGATCTAAAAATGTTTTCAAATAGTAGGACAACTAAAAAACTGTGACCAAGATATTAACTACTGCCAATTAATCATCTGTCTTGAACTTAAAAATAATAGTCTCCTTTTGTTCTTTAGTTTTCTTTACAATTGTAAAGATTTGATGCGGTGATTCTACATTTTTGGTTTTGGTTTTGTGCGCACGAGCTTCGGAAAGTATGAGAAAAGTAAACGTATATCCAGAATTTCATAACATTCTAAAAAATGACAGAAATAGAACAGATTATAATTTGATAAAATCGTGTGTGTCATTCAAGCCTGAAAAAAATACTGCTTGTTAAAGTAAAAATGAAAGTAAGTTTCAGAGCTATTACTTTTTATTCATGGACAGTAAACATTTTCTTTATATAACATCGTTTGAGTTTTGCTGTCAAAAGAAATATTTATCGATCTATTATTTGTACCTGTTCTATTTTTACTGATCTATTTTTATTCTTTTGTTGTTGAGTCTCGTGTCAAATTAAATTTTTGATTACCATATACTATTTCATTTATTAATGCATTATTTTTATTACAATTAGGGCAATTTTTATCCAAGCTTTTTGACACTTTTTGCAAATGTTCTTTTTTTTTACTATTCCTTTATAATTAGATTTAAATTCCAAGAACAAGATCTGGAATTTCTCGAACAATATTCATACATCACTAATAATGCTGTAATTAAACTGAAACAAGAAAAGATGTTTTGCAAGAATCAACTTGATGACTTTACGACAACTCTTAATCATTTGTTAAACTCTTGTGAAGGAAAGGTACAAGTTAATTATTTTATTAGGATTTACCTCGTGAAAAAATAAATTAAGATATCTTTAATCTCAGTATATTACTCTGCCGAACAAAGCTGTCAGAGTTTTATGTTATGGTATTATTTTCAGGTTTTTTTTTGTTGTTTTTTTAAGAAGATAATTAATGAGCCGCAGTGTCAATCAAGACTCATTAATTATCTTCTTAAAAAACAACAAAAAACCTGAAAATAATACCATAACATAAAACTCTGACAGCTTTGTTCGGCAGAGTAATATACTGAGATTAAAGATCTCTTATATTTTTGTTTTCACGAGGTAAAACCTAATATAAAAACCGCAGTGTCAATCAAGAATAAAACTCTGACAGCTTTGTTCGGCAGAGTAATATACTGAGATTAAAGATCCCTTAGATTTTTGTTTTCACGAGGTAAATCCTAATAAAAAATTATGGTATTTTTTCAGGTTGTTTTTTCTTTGTTTTTTAAGAAAATAATTAATGAGTCTTGATTGACACTACGGATTTTTATTAGGATTTACCTCGTGAAAAACAAAAATCTAAGGGATCTTTAATCTCAGTATATTACTCTGCCGAACAAAGCTGTTAGAGTTTTATGTTATGGTATTTATTTCAGGTTGATTTTTTGAGAAAGTAATTAATGGTTGTTGATTGACACTACTGAATGATGTTCATGATTTCGTTGATTTTATATGGAAACTATGTTTTGATACATCGTTGAAACATTCTAGTCATAGTTCTACTAAAAGTTTGCAACCATCAATGTTATATGATTCCATTTCGTATTTCTTTTTATAACGTATTAAACGTGAGTTTTATCTATGCAAGCAGGATATTTTACAGGATTTGGCTAGAACTCTACAGAGTAATGTTTCGCTGAATCGATATTTATTCTTCAACAAATCAGGAGAAGAAGAAGTAAGAAAATTCAGCGAAGGTACGTGTAAAGAGTATTATCCAAAGATTTTAAAAAGAAACCTTTTTACTTTATTTGTCGTATCACAGCAAAAGCCCTCGTTCGCATTGGATGTAGCAGGTATGGCGTTTTTGACAAACTATTATGCATTCTTCTTTACTTTCACTCGTAAATTCTCAGAAATACTGTGACGTTTGTGGAAATCTCAAATAAAGTTTACGGTAAATTTTATCATCAATACGTAACCTAAGCTTAGTAAAATATGAAAAAGGAATTAAGCAATCGCTTGTGTAGCATATATTATTTGGCACGAAGAAACATTTGAATTCAGATGTTTCATCGTTCAACGA